ACCTGCACAGGTTCACGAGTCCACCACCACTCAAGGCACATTGGCAGCACCACAGGGGTCCCTCCTGTGTCCTTTTTTACAAATTTTAATTTAATTTTAAAGGATTTTTCTTTTAATTAATTTATTTGAGAGAGAAAGAGAAATGTCGATTTGTTGTCCCACTTATTCATACATTCATTGGTTAATCTTGTATGTTCCCTGACTAGGGATAGAGCCCCCAGCCGTGGCGTATCGGGATGACACTTTAACCAACTGAGCTACCCGGCCAGGGCCTATAACTTAAGGAAAAGGTCCATCTTTGCCTTAAGCAGACCCTCTCCATTGTTTTCGTGCATCTAGGTGAACATACCCGAACTTGAGGTCACCACCCTCCAGAGAGCACGTGATCTTGTTAACTACCCCATGATCCAACACCACCTTGCTTTCTCCCCCCTTCATGGAATCCTCCTGACATCCTCTTAATTTCTAAAGCGTAACAGAAACTGCAGAACTGTCCTTCTCCAGAGCATTTGAGGTCTTGCTTCCTGGCAATTGTCCTCAGTTTTGGCTCAAATAAACACCTATAAAAATCCTCTTCTTTTTTTTCTTTCAAACTGACGACATATGCTGGGGAACAAGATCTCAAATGCTCCTGGACATGTCTTAAACCGACATTTCTCGCATTCCCTTCCTTGAGCCTGTGTTCCTGCTGCCAGAATTGATAGTTCCCAGAACACACGCCAGTGCTGTTCCCCTGCTTGGAGTACCCTTCCACCTGTTGTTTTTCTTCCTGGCTAATTCCTACCCATTCGTCACAGGTCAGCGTGCCATGTTGTTTCTGAAATTCTACCTCCGCATGCTGCCACATGGTAATGAGACAGGCTCGTACCCGGGACAAGCGGAACAGATACAGATAGTTAAACTGAGACAGATAGTTAAACAGCAGTTTGCAGCCACCTAGTAAATCCTCTCTTCCCTAAACTGGGGAAGACTGAGCTGCCCAGCCAGGGCCCTCCTTTGTCCTTTCTAAAATTTATTTTAGAGGAACATCGATGTGAGGGAGAAACATGACCAGCTGCCTACTGCATGCTCCCTACTGGGAATCAAACCTGCATCTCAGGCAGGTGCCCTGACTGGGAATCAAAGAGCATCGGCCCGCGGACCAGAGAGACCCGGGTTCAGTTCCCACTAAAGGCATGTACCTCGGGTGCAGTTTGTCTCCGGCTCTGGTTGGGGTTGTGTGGGTGGCAACCACTTGATGTGTCTCTCTCACACCGATGTTTCTCTCTCTCTTCCTCCCTCTTGCCCTCCAGCTCTATCTGAAGATAAATGCAAAAAAAAAAAAAGTGTTGTAAATAGAATCATAGTTGGAGAGTTAGCCTTTTTGCTCAGCATATTTCCCTGGAGCTTCACCCAAGACGCTGCATGTATCTATTGCTCGTTCCTTTTCATTGCTGAGGAATATTCCGAGGTATGGATGTACCCCAGTGTGTTGAACCACTCAGCCATTGAAGGGCATCTGATTCCAGTTTTTCAGGAAAGCTGGAATTACAAATAAAACCTCTGTCAACATTCAGGTCCAGATTTTTGTGTGAACATTCATTTTTTGTTTTAAATCTCTCTAGGGAACTGGACCATTTTTTTCAAACAGCTCTAATTAAAGCAGATCCTTGAGATTTTTGAGGGATCCATTTGGAGACCTACGTGTGTTCTCATACGCTCAATATTAGAAATGTGTTTACAGGTTCCTGGCTTGGTCTTAAATCACACAAATCTCACGTCTGTCCAGAAGCACTGTTTCCTGTGCATATTCTCCTGTCCCAGCTTGGGTGCCTTTTTTATTTGAATGTGTCTATTTATTCAATTTTGTTGAATCAGGTAAAGAAGATGTAAAGGAACAGGAAACATTAAGACAGCTGTGTAGAACACACTGAAGGATTACATCCTAGAATGAACTTGGTGATAAATACTTCATAGTCTGTGTATTTCAACGTTTTCAGCTTTTGACCCCTTCAGTCTTTGTTCTGAGCCAAAGATGTTCCTATCATGGAACATTCAAAAAAGTTTTCTTCTAGAGACATTGTGCAAAACCCCTGAGGGCTCAGCCGTAGCACCAGGCAACCAGGGCTCTGACGGACTTGAGCATGGAAACTAGCTATGGGGTCTTGGGCAAGTGTACTGACCTCTCTGAGGGTCTTGTTTCTGTCCCGCACCACGAGGATACATGTGATTCAGAGGATCCAATGAGACACCCCATGGAAACGCGAGAGCTGGTACATTTCAGTAGCGACCCCACTGGGAATAAAGCAGCCCTTCCCGGGAGGTTGCTGGAGGGGCTGTGAGGGGAGAGAATTACATCACACTTCCCGGCGAAAATAGGCCGGTCTCCTACACCTAGTGCCTCCCTCCACAGTCAAGTCCCCGCCATCCCTCCCAGTCAGCCAGTCTGTCTCGTTCTGTTACCTTCACTTCCAGGTGGTCTCCCTTCTTGCCCAGGTCTGTGTGTCCCATCTGTGGTGTGTCATTCTTCCGCCCTTCAGTTCCCGGGGATGAAGTCTGTGAGCACGGCACCGAGTTTTGTTTTCCTTGTTTTTTTTGGGTCCCTGTCATGCTTACTGTTCGGTTGGTCGCCAGATTTGCTCAGGTTCCCACAAAAGGGGCACAGATGCATTTCCATGCTGTCCGGCTGGTCATTCCTGAGCTCCACATACAAGTGAGGGCCTTTCTTAGCATCAAGCTGGAAATGTGATCCCAGCCCACACACAACAGGGGCCACTAACCACCTCTGCTGACTGCTGACAACTGTCCTTTTCCCTTTTCTATTGTCTTCAACCCTGGCAGTTGGCAGGAACACTCCTCTGACGCATGGCATTGGCTTTGACTGAGATTTGCCTCCTTAGCAATTTCATCAATAAGGTGAAGAGTTGCACCCTGGCCAGTTTTGCTCAGTGGTTGGAGCGTCAGCCTGCGGTCCAGAGAGACCTGGGTTCGGTTCCTGCTAAGGGCATGTACTTCGGTTGCAGTTTGTCCCCGGCCCTGGTTGGGTTGTGCGGGAGGCAGTCGATGTGTCCCTCTCACATCGATGTTTCTCTCTCTCTGTCTCTTCCTCTCTCTCCCTCCCACTCTATCTGAACAAAAAATGAAAAAATGTCCTTGGGTGAGGCTAAAAAAAAAATAATAATAAGGTGAAGAGTTGCTTGGTAGCCACAGTGTTCCCCCAGGAGAGGAGTGGCCCGTGTGGCTGCTGGTGGCCTCAGGACCTGGCATATCAATTCGCCTCTCGCCCCACTTGGCTGCCTTTGAAACCCTTCACAGAACTTTTCCTCACTGCCCAGCTGGTGTGGCTCAGTGGTTGCGCATCGACCCATGCACCAAGAGGTTACCAGTTCGATTCCCAGTCAGGGCACATGCCCAGGTGGACCCAATCCCCAGTGGGGGGCATGCAAGAGGCAGCCAATCGATGTTCCCTCTCATTGATGTTTCTCTCTCTCTCTAAAAATTGATAAAGAGAAAAAAAAAGAACTTTTCCTCACCTGCTGTGTTACAAAATTTGAACTGAAATACACCTCCCTATTATTTCTCCCCAAAAGTAGAAGAAAAAAGTCCCATTCCTTCTTCACATAATAACAGTGTAATTATTTGAAGATAATGATCAGATATGCCCCTAAATCTTAACATTCCTACTCCTTCAAATGCTCCGCTTAGATATGGTTTGAAGGCCCCTGCCTCAGCATTTTCATCATTGGTCCACATGCTTTGGGGTATCACGCCCTCTCTGCCCCCCAAACCAAGCATGTATGACAAAATACAGTGGGACTGTCTTCTCCCTTCTCCTGAACCTTCCCTTAATGCTGCCAACTAGGATGGCGGTGGTACCCCCTCCACACTCACCAGTCTTTCCCAAACCTTCTACTGTTAAGTAGCATCTCCCTCATCCTGTATCTGTAAGATCAGCTTTGAGGAGCTAAGATCAGGAACTTGACTTTCTATTATATACCACCATCTGGCCCATTAATTCCTCCTAGGGATGTCCTGCTGACTACCAGTTCAGTCATTTGACCTCTTCCCTTCTCCCCTCAGTGCTGTGTCATTAGTGACTCAATCAGCGTGTTTTCAACTAAAAGTGTCAAGCAAGAGAGGGAAGAAGACGGGCCATGTGCATGCACTCTGCTAGAGAGCTCCTTTGAATCAACCCCGATCAAAACTCTTTTGATATCATTGTCCCACAAATGACAGGTACCACACACTTCTCCATGAAGACACTCGGTCGCATGTCTTTCTGAAATCCAGAAACCCTGTATCTGCAGTATTTGATTGTTTTACAATCTAGTAACCCTGACAACAATGGAAACCTGGTTAACTTGTCCTGACTTGCTGTTAGCAGATGCCTGCTGGTCCCTGGTCATCACCACTTCCAGCCTGGTAGCTGCAAGTGTCCTCTACCAACACCTGTAAGAGTTCTGCTCTGCTCATCATCGTCCACAGGCTGCTAGCCCCCCATCTCAGGGCCTCACTGAGCACCCCTCCTCCTGCTTCGTATTTCAGGCCTCTTACCTGGCCCGATCCCTCCTGGGGGTGACCCTCACAGACAGCCCTTGTTAGGTCTGGCCCAGACTCCCCAGACTCTATCTTTCTCTAAACTCTAACCATACAGATCTGGGTCCTCTCCATAATTTTTTTTTCAACGCAGACTTTATTGAAGTTCTGCACACAGTGTGAGCCATGACTCGCTAGGAAAAGATTTTAGGGAATGAGTAGACGCACAGAGTTTTTACATACCTAATAAATAATCTGTTGGAGTTTTTAGTGGAATAGCAAGGCCCCTGTCCCCACCCTTGTTTGCTTCAGCTCAGGACATTTTCGGGGTTTTAGACTAGATACTAGGAGGGGACACACCTTCGTCTGCAGGCTCAGCCCAAGAATAGCACCAACACGCTTGGCCCAAAAAGCTGGGAGGAGAAGCCTCTTAGGCAGGAGCCATTGTTTTCTTTCACAGCAGAAAGCAGAAGGACTCTGAGAGCAGAGAAGAAAGTGCCCTCAGCCCCCAGCCTCTGCTTCCTCCGCAGCTCCTCTGGCCAGAGGCCAGATTTCCTCTTCAAACCGACGTGACAGCTGAGCGATAAGAAAGGTCACACACTTCTGCTGGCCCCACCAAAGCCAGCTGGATATGGACAAAACTAGCCATACACCAGACTGAGAACCAATCTGGTGAGTTGCGTTTTAAGTATTTTAAAGTAGTGTTCTCTTGTGAATTCCCAGAGCCTGTCGGCGGAAGCAGGCGGACCCTAGAGGGGTGATGCAGCCGGCAGCAGCCAACATTCCGTCTCTTACCTTCTGTGTTTTCGGCTACTCTTCCTCAATCCCTAATATTTTAAGGATGGGTATTTAAAGCACAAAGCTTTAGGCTTAAGAGAGCCAGTTGGATAAATGGCTGCTACCTTCCCGGGCCACCAGGTGAGGCTCCGTTTCTAGCAGAGCGGGGAGTCTCCAGGCACTGACAGGTGATGTGAGGGATGGGGACCCTGTTCTCTTGGTAAATACCCTGGAAAAGGGAATTAGGCTCTAGTGAACATGCTTTCAGATTATAGTCACTGAACTAAAAGTGATCCGGGCACACAGGCAGCTGCCAAGTCCCACCTATGGGGGAAGGAAACTGCCCAAACCTGCCCCTGGGAACAAAGGGGTTCAGAGCTTGGACACTGAAGAGACTTGGGGCTCAGGCTGCTCATAGTAAATTTCTTTTTTAAGGGACTTTTAAAAAATTAAATTTATTGGGGTGACATTGGTTAGTAGGGTCATTTAGGTTTCGAGTGTACATTTCTATGATACATAATCTGTATATTACATTGTGTGTACATTCTGTGCCCGCCACCCAAAGTCAAATCATCTTCCATCACCATATGTCCCCTCTAAACCTTCTTTCACCCCCACTCACGCTCTCCATCCCCGCAATCACCACACTGCCCATGTCCACAGGTTCTCTTTTTTTTTTTTTTTGCTTGATTCCTTCACACCCCCACCCCCGAGCTGCCAGTCTGTCTCTATTTTGCTTGCCAGTTCAGTTTGTTCATTAGAGTCCATATTGCTCACAGTAAATCTCAACCTCATTTCCAGCAAATGGTTGGAGGAGGGTGGTCAGGGAACCTCATCAGTGTTCCCTAGATTGTTGTTGAGTACACTTTGCGTTTGCTTAACAGCTAGTTTAAGAACAAACTCTGAATCGAAACCTGATGATAAGTACAGTGGAAACTGCCTGTACTTTAAAGCAAAGCCGTTCTTTGTACCTAAAACCATTTGGATGATTTTTATTTACTTATTTATTTTTTATCCTCACCCGATGACATTTTTCTATTTTTTTGTTCAGATAGAGTGGGAGGGAGAGAGAGAGAGAGAGAAACATCGATGTGAAAGGGACACATCGAGTGGCTGCCACTCACACAACCAACCAGGGCCGGGGACAAACTGCAACTGAGGCACGTGCCCCTAGCGGGAACCGAACCCGGGTCTCTCTGGACCCTAGGCCGATGCTTTAACCACTGAGCCAAAGCAGCCAGGGCATTTGGTTGATTTTTAGATAAACCATCCCCTCACCTCCTGCCCCACTTTTCCAAGAGTTGTTCCTGGCAGGGTAATTTCTCCAAGACCTTATGATAAACCATTTAGATTTTCCTCTTATTTTAGTAAAGTTTATCCATCTTAGATAGAAAGGACAGAAGAGGGAGAGCAAGGACAAAAAATATTCGATTGATTATTATTGTTGTTAGTATTATTATCATTACTGCTGTGACGACAGTGTCAAGAGCAGCCACTCTCTAATGGATGTATGGTTCGCCAGTACTTCTGGGTTTTACCCTCACGAGGGATCCTCATGTCCTCATGGAGGAGGTGATGAATAACAGAGTTAGTGGATTTGTAGCTTGCTAAACATTTTTATTTATTTATTTATTTTTTAATTATTTATTTTTTTGTTACAGATGTTTCTCCTTTTTCACCCCATTGGCCCCCCCACCCCACCCCATCCCCGGCTTTGTTGTCCATGTCCATTGGTCATGCATACATGCATATAAGTTCTGTGGTTTATCTCTTCCCACTCCCCCACCCCCTCTTCTGGGGGATGTCAGTCTGTGCCCTACTTCCATGTTTCTGGGTCTACCGTATTCCTCAGACTGTTATGTTTATTATATTCCATATATAAGTGAGATCATGTGGTATTTGTCTTTTTCTGCTTGGCTTATTTCACTTAGGATAATACTTTCCAGGTCCCTCCATGTCATCTCAAAGGATAAGAGATCTTTCTTTCTTACAGCTGCGTAGTACTCTATTGTGTATATGTACCACTGCTTTTTTTATCCATTCGTCTACTGATGGACACTTGGGCTGTTCCAGATCTTAGCTATTGTAAATAGTGCTGCTATGAACATGGGGGTACATATAGCTTGCTAAATATTTATATCAAAAGAATTTTGAGCCTGGCCAGTGTGGCTCAGTGGGTTGAGTGTCATCCCATGGACTGAGAAGTTCCGGTTTGATTCCACGTCAGGACACATGCCCAGCTTGTGGACCAAATCTCCAGTGGGGGGCGTGCAGAGGCAGCCAGTCGATGTTCTCTCTCATCGATGTTTCTATCTATCTCTCTCTCTAAAATCAATAATTAAAAAAAATTTTTTTTTTAAGAAAAAGAAAAAGAAACACCGAGGGAGGTTACACACAGGAGAAGGAAATGAGAAAGTGAAGCAGAGAGAGGCTTGAAGATGCCAGCCTTGACTATTAGTGATGCAGCCACAGGTCCAGGTGTGCCCGCAGCCACCAGACGCTGAGAGAGACAAGGAACAAACTCTCCCCGGAGTTTCTGGAGGGAGTGTGGTCCTGCTGACACCTTGATTTGGGTCCAGGATACTGATTTTGTATTTCTGCCCTTCAGAACTGTGAAAGAATGAGTTTCTGTTGTTTTAAGCCACAAAGTTTGTGGGAATTTGTTACAGCAGCCACAAGAAACTGAAACACCTGCCTCCTAGGATCTTTAAAATAACAACTTTATAGAGATGTATTTCACATATCATTACCATTCGTCTATTTAAAATGTACGATTCATTTTCTAGTATATTCACAGACTTGTACAACCATCACCACACTCAATTTTAGGACATTTTATTTTATTATGATTATTTTTAAAATATATTTTATTTCCCAGCCAGTGTGGCTCAGTGGTTGAGCGTCAACCCATGCACCAAGAGGTTGCTGGTTCGATCCCCGGTCGGAGCACATGCCCGGGTTGTGGGCCCGATCCCCAGTGGGGGGCATGCAGGAGGTGGCCAGTCAATGTTCTCTCTCATTGATGTTTCTATCTCTCTCTCCCTCTACCTTCTTCTCTCTCTAAAATCAATAAAGAAAAAATAAATAAATAAATAAATAAATATGTTTTATTGATTTTTTTAGAGAGAGATAGAAACATTGATGTAAGAGAGAAACATCAATCATGCCCCCTACTGGGGATCAAGCCCAGAACCCCGGCATGTGCCCTGACCAGGAATTGAACCAGGATCTCTTAGTCCATGGGTTGGCGCTCAATCCACTAAGCCACACCCGCCAGCAACTTTAGGACATTTTAATTACCCTTAAAAAGAAACCCCATACCCAAGCATTAGGAAACTACTAATCTACTTTCTGTCTCAGTGGGTTTGCTTATTGTGGACATTTCATGTAAATGAGATCAAATGGTATGTGGTCCTATGTGACTGGCATCTTTCACTTAGCATCACGGTTTCAAGTATTACCATGTTGGAGCGTGTATCAGTACTACTTCATTCATTTTTATGGCTAAATAATATTCTATTGTGTGGCTATAACATGTTTTGTTTATCTATTCATTAGTTGATAGACATTTGAGTTGTTTCTACTTTTTTGGCTATTATTAACGATGCGACCATGAACATTTCTGTAAACATGTTTTCATTTATTTTGGACATATACCTAAAAAAGGAATTGCTGCTGGGTCATATGGTAACTCTATTTTTATTTTTATTTATTTATTTTTTTAATCCTCATCCGAGGACATTTTTCCATTTTTTGTACAGACAGAGTGGGAGGGAGAGAGAGGAAGAGAGAGAGAGGGAAACATCGATGTGAAAGGGACACATCGAGTGGCTGCCACCCGCACGACCAACCAGGACCGGGGACAAACTGCAACCGAGGTACATGCCCTTAGCGGGAACCGAACCCGGGTCTCTCTGGACCGCAGGCCGATGCTCTAACCGCTGAGCCAAACCGGCCAGGGCGGTAACTCTATTTTTAACCTTTTGAGAAACTTTTTCAAAGTAAATGTATCATTTTACATGTTTTCCAGCAGTGTATGATGGTTCTAGGTTCTCCGCATCCTCACCAACACTTATTATTGTCTGTCTTCTTACTTATAGCCATCCTGGTGGGTGTGAAGTGACATTTATTGTGGTTTTTATTTGAAGTTCCTTAATGACTAATTATGTTGACCATCCTTTCATGTGCTTATGGGCTATTTGTATACCTTTTTTAGAGAAATGTCTGTTCAAGTCCTTTGCCCCTTTTAATTTTAATTTTATAAAATTTTATTTTTCAATTATAGTTGATGTTCAATATTATTTTATATTAGTTTCATGTATATAGCATAGTGATTAGACAATTATATAATTTATTAAGTGATTACCCCCCCCCAATTCTAGTACCCACCTGGCACCATACATAGTTATTATAATATTATTGACTATATTCCTTGTGCTGTACTTTACACCCCCAGGTGTATTTTGTGAGTACCAATTTGTACTTTTTAATCCCTTTACCTTTTTCACCCAGCCCCCCAAGCCCCCTGCCATCTGGCAACCCTCAGTTTGATTTTTGTATCTGTGAGTCTGTTTCTAGCAGGGGATGGAGGAGTACTGACCCCTCCCCAGTATCTCAGCCTGTTTCCCTCTGGCTCAGCTGTTCACCTTTCTGAGGGGCCGACTGAAGCTCTGAGGACAGGGCCTAGGTGGGTGTTGAATTAGGGTCTTTGAGGCCCTCCCTTTGTGCTCATTAAGCCAGTTTCCAGAGCAGCAATTCAGACAGGGCAGGCGGGGGCCCAAACCAGACCTACAGCTATTGTTGTTATCACACGTGTTTTCATTATTTTTATATTCTCATTGCACTCTGCTGATTTTCTTTCAAATCATGTCTTTCAAATGCCGGCTCTCCTTTGATCTTCATAACAAGACTAAAGTAGTTAGAGTGAGCATATTATTCCCATTTTATAGGTGAGGAAAGTGAACCTCAAAACATTGAAGTTATTAAACTGCGGAGCAGGGACTGGAGCCCCCCCAACCCTCTGATCTGCATGTTAATTCATCAGACCGGAGGCTACAGGCTGGGGGAAATGGCTGACATCTTATTTCCTGTCACTTTAGTCATGAGATAAATGGGGGGCCAGCTGTGTGAGGTGCCTGCAACTCTCAGACAGAACGGCTGCCTGCCTCCCCCACCCTTCCTCCCGGACCCCACCCCAGCTTCTCAGAAAAACCACTTCCTGAAGTCTGTTCCAGCAGGCAGCTTTTCACGCAGTAATGAATTGGTGTGATTTGGGTTCGTGTGACTTTCCTGGTATTTGAAGCAGAAGCACAGCATGTACAGACCACTCTGTCTTCTTTCCATCCCCTTTGGCTGAGAAGGGGAGAAGGGAGCAGCGCTCCTAGGGATGTAGGGCTCGGGGAGCTCGTCGGGCCTGCTGAGCACACCTGGGCCACCATCCTGGCCCCCGACCAGTCAGTGACTTGACTAGTTACCAGGGAGCTAAAATAATTGTGAGGAACACTTTTTTCTTGTTCCTGGTCAAGGAATCCACTAAGGAAAGGGGAAGGAAGGGGCAAGATATGTAAAGTTCACAGACATATAAAAAGCCATCCCACTTACAATTTTTTTAAAAAGCGAAATGGAAAAATTCCATTTATACATTGTTAATTTTCAATAAGACTTTCATACTTTACAAATAAAGACTAAGGAGCATGGTCGTCTTTTCTTTTTTATTTATTTATTTTTATTATTTTTTGTAAATCTAATTTTATTCTTTCATCCCCATTTATCCTCTCTATACCCCCCCCCCAACCGTCTTTTCAACGACTAAAATAAATGAGGAAGACCATATTCAGTTCTTACACCACAGCCAAGGCATTGGAAGAAAAGATTTCCATGAGAATGGGAAGGAGTGGTTCTGAAGGAAAGAGTGGGAGACAGACCCATGGGAAGTGGTGAGGGGAGCTCTCCCAGGAGGACCCACAAATCTTGTGCCAGACCAAACCATGTTGTCTTGGCTCTTGGGGCCTCATCATGTGACCCTGTGATACTGTCTGGGCTGGGCAGAGTTGGGTACAACAGGCGTTTTAAATGATTTCCAACCCTCTGAGGCACAGATTGTATTTTAAAATTCAATTTCTTAATTTGATTCTTAAAAGATAATACGTTCATATGATTTAAAAACTAACAAGGACACCAAGGTTTACAATGAAAAGGACACTGAAAACTCTAAAACATTAGTGAAAGTGGGCTTAAATAAATGAAGCGATGTGACTCATAGGTCAGAATACTCAGTATTGCCAAGATGTCAGTTCTCCTCAAGTTGATTTATATAGATTTAATGCAGTTCCAATCAAAATGTCAGAAGTTATTTTTTGGGTAGAAATTTAGAAGCCAATTTAAAAATTCATATAGAAGGGCAAAGGCACTAGAATAGCCCAAATAACTTTGAAAAGGAAGAAAAAAGTTCGAGGACTAAAACTACCTGACTTCAAGATGTATTATAGCGCTACATAAATCAAAACAGTGCGTTACTACAGAAGGATAAACAAATACATCAATGGAACAGGATAGAGACTCCAAAAATAAAGCCACACATATACAGACAACTGATTTTCAACAAAGTTGCAAAGAGAGTTCCCTGGAGAAAAGATCGTCTTTTGATAGTTTTTTTCAACAGGTGGTGCAATTCAACAAATGGAACAATTGGACGTTTATCTGGAGGGGGGGGGAGAACTTTGAATGACACCTTGCATCATTGCCAATGTTAACTCAAAATAGATAATAGATCTAAATGTAAAAACATGAGGGAAATCTTTGTGACCTTGGTAGGCAACAGTTTCTTAGATGTGAGACCAAAAGGATGATCCATAAAAGAAAAAAATTAATATACTGGACTTTATTCATTAAAAGTTAAAAACTTCGCCCTGGCCGGTTTGGTTCAGCAGTTAGAGCGTCGGCCTGCAGTCCTGAGAGACCCAGGTTCGGTTCCCGCTAAGGGTGCGTACCTCGGTTGCAGTTTGTCCCCGGCCCTGGTCGGTTGTGCGGGTGGCAGCCACTCGATGTGTTCCTTTCACATCGATGTTTCTCTCTCTCTCTCTGTTCCTCTCTCTCCCTCCCACTCTACCCGAACAAAAAATGGAAAAATGTCCTCAGGTGAGGATAAAAAAAAAAAAAAAAGTTAAAAACTTCGCCCTGGCCGGTTTTGCTCAGTGGTTAGAGCGTTGGCCTGCAGACCAGAGAGTCCTGGGTTCGAGTCCCACTAAGGGCACATGCCTCGGTTGTAGTTTGTCCCGGGCCCCGGTTGGGCTCTTGTGGGTGGCAACCACTTGATGTGTCTGTTTCACCGTCGATGTTTCATTCTCTCTTTTCCTCCCTCTCTCCCTCCTGCTCTATCTGAAGATAAATGCAAAACCAAAACCAAAACCAAAACAAAACAAAAACTGCTGCTCATCAAAAGACACCACTGAAAGGATAAAAAGCAAGCCACAACCTGGGAGAAAATATTTGAAAATCACATAATTGACAATGGACTTGTATCCAGAATATTGTATCAAGATCTCTAGCCCTTACCGGTTTGGCTCAGCGGTTGGAGTGTCGGCCTGCGGTCCAGAGAGATCCGGGTTCAGTTCTCGCTAAGGGTACGTACCTCAGTTGCAGTTTGTCCCCGGCCCTGGTTGGGTTGTGCGGGGGGGCAACGACTCGATGTGTCCCTTTCATGTCGATGTTTCTCTCTCTCTCTCTCCCTCCCACTCTATCTGAACAAAATATCAATGCCCTCAGGTGAGGATAAAAAAAAAAAAGAAAAGAACTCTAAAAATACAGTACTAATGCCCTGGCCAGTTTGGCTCAGCGGTTAGAGCGTCAGCCTGCGGTCCGGAGAGACCCGGGTTCGGTTCCCGCTAAGGGCACGTACTTCGGTTACAGTTTGTCCCCGGCCCTGGTTGGTCGTGCGGGTGGCAGCCACTCGATGTGTCCCTTCACGTTGATGTTTCTCTCTCTCTCTCCCTTCCTCTCTCTCCCTCCCACTCTATCTGTACAAAAAATGGAAAAATGTCCTCGGGTGAGGATAAAAAAAAAAAAAAAAATACAGTACTAAAAAAAAACAACCTAACCAAAAATTAGGCAGAAGATTTTAAGACACATAAGATAGAAAATAAGCACATGAAAACATGTTCAATATTATGGGTCATTAGGAAAATGCAAATTAAAGCCATGATAAGAAATCACTAGAACGGCTAAAATTAAAAAGATTGACCTGCCAAGTGCTGGTGATGATGTGAAGCAACTAGAACTCTCATTCTTTGCTGGTGGGAATGTTAAATGGTGTGATCAGTTTGGTAACAGCTGGGCAATTTCTTAAAATGTTAAACATACACCTACCATATAACACAGGCATTCCACTCCTAGGTATTTATCCAAGAGAAATGAAAGTATGTGTCCATACAGGGACTTATTCATAGCAGCTCTGTCCATATTAGCTTAAAATTGAAACAACTGAAATGTCTGTTAATAGGTGAATGGATAAACTAACTGTGTCATAATCATGTAATGGAATATTACTCAGCAATAAAAAGAAATGAAGTCTTGATTATGTGGATTGAATGAAGATAGGCAAAAAGAGTACATACTGTATGATTTCATTTATATAAAGTTCTAGAAATGCAAAGCAGCCCATAGTGACAGAAAGCAGATCAGTGTTTGCATGGGGGCTAGTGGGTGTAGAGAGAGGGGTGCAAAGGGGCATAGCTTTGAGGCGATGTATATTGTCAGTGCCCAGGGCAGGCCACCCCAAGATATCCCACAATGGCATATTGATTAAAATATGTTTTTTTAAAAATTCTCACCTGAGGATACTTTTCAAACATTTATCTTCAGATAAGGGAGGAGGAGGAGGAAGAGGAGGAGGAAGGAGAGAGAGAGAGAGAGAGAGAGAGAGAGAGAGACTTCGACTGGTTGCCTCCCACTGGTTGCCTCCCACATGACTCTGACCAGGGCTGGGACAAACTGCAACCAAGGTACATGCCCTTGACCGGAATCAAACCCACGATTCTTTGGTCAGCAGGCTGACGCTCTAACCACTGAGCAACCGTCTAGGGTTAAAATATGTTTTTATCGACTTTTTAGAGAGAGAGGAAGAGAATGAGATATAGAAACATCGATGTGAGAGAGAAACTTTGATCGGCTGCCTCCTGCCCGCCCCCCATTGGGGATCGAGCCTGCAACCCAGGCATGTGCCCTGACTGGGAATTGAACCTGGAGCTCTCAGTCCATGGGACAATGCTCAGTCCACTGAGCCACACTGGGCCAGGCGGCATATTGATTATTTTGAATGAAAATCACATGAGAAGTAGCAGGAGTGGGAGGCACTCTCTGACTTGCCTCTGTCCCTCTAAATGAAAGAAATAAACCTTCATAGTAGGTGCCCTCCATGTTCCTGAGGGCTCAGAGGCAAGCTTATCCAGGAGTTATAAAACCTTGTATAAACAAGCCTTGTAAAGCCTTTACGAATGTATTACCCAAGCCCAAACCTTGCTTAGATTCCTTTCTAGTGAGCACTAACTTTCTTTGTCCTGTCGGTTTCTCAGAAATGTATTGTGTTTTTTGGTCTGAAAAGTTTAAAAAAGTCTCCTGATTCAATAATTTCTTTGAGCCTTATTTTATGATCTGAGCATCATATTGTGATTCTCCTGTGCACATATATGAAGTTGATTTTCCCCCTGTTAACCTAGTCTGGTGGCAATTTTATTATTTTATTGTTAGTCCAGCCGTAAGAACTAAAGAAGGGGGGCGGATTATTCCCCTCCCTGACAACATGTTCAGTTGCTTAATTGGGGCTATCATGTCACGGAGTATATTTATGTCAACATTTTTCTAACTGTACCTTTTAAATATGTGCAATTTACAGTACATCAATTATAGATCAATGAAGATGTTAAAACTTTCCATTTCTTATGACAATTTTAAAATATAATACAAAAAAGGGTAATAGTTACATAATTTATTTATTTTTATTAAAGAGAGAGAAACATTGATGTGAGAGAGACACATCGACTGGCTGCCTCTCACATGACCCCAGCTGGGGCTGGGGATTGAACCTGCAACCCAGGTATGTGCCCTTGACCAGGAATCAAATCCGAGACCCTTCAGTCCATGGGCTGATGCTCTTACCGCTGAGCAAAACCAGCCTGGGCAGTGGTCACATAATTTAAAAATAAAAAGTGTGAAAGGTTTACAATTAAAAGAGTCCCAACTGCCCAGTTTTCACCACCCATCCCCCCATCACAGATAAGAATTATTTGCATTGCTCTAGACTTTCCCAAAGTTAATGTTTACCTTTACCGATTGTAAAATATCTTAGTCTACAGTAAACAGCAAGTCAAGCAGAGGTTCACACACCCTCAGGTAATCCCTAGGAGAGCCTACTACTTATGCCCAGCACTGAAAGAATACACTGTGATCCTTTCTGCCTATTTCCACATTTCAGATACTTTTTATTGTTATCTATCTGTTCATATCGTTTGCCCATTTTTTATTGTATTGTTGATCTTTTTCTTCTTGATTTCTGAGTGCTTTTTACAGTTAGAGAGATTAGCTCTTTGTTTATGATGTGAGTTGCAAATATATTTTCCAGTTTGCAGTTTTTCTCTTGACTGAATTTTTTTTTTTTTTGCAAAGCAGACATTTCATGGAGTATAATTTTTTTTTTTATCCTCACCGGAGGACATTTTTGCATTTATCTTTAGATAGAGTGGGAGGGAGAGAAGGAGGAAGAGAGAAAGAGAAACATCGATGTGAGAGAGACACATAGACTGGCTGCCACCCACACGACCCCATCCAGGGCTGGGGACAAACTGCAACCGAGGTACGTGCCCCTAGTGGGAACCAAACCCGGGTCTCTCTGGACCACGGGCCGACACTCTAACCGCTGAGCAAAACCGGCCAGGGCTCATGAAGTATAATTTAACAATTTTTTTATTTTAAGTCATAGTTAAACCAGCTTTTACCATTCCAAGGTTAAGAGGAATTCTTTCATATTTTCGTGTAGAACTTTTATGGTTTTATTTGTACCTTCAGATGGTTGGTTCATTTGGAATTTATTTTGGTGCATGACGTAAGTTGTAGGTTATAGTTTTTCTGCTTTTCTTTTAAAGCACTAACATGTTTTTTAAATAAAGCTTTTTTACTCTCCTGGTGTTCTCAAAGTATTAGCATTGTATATGAAACAATGACTAATTTTTAGAAGTTTACTTTTAGTTGGGCCAGTGGGGCTCAGTGGATTGAGCATTGTCCCATGGATTGAGAGGTCCCAGTTCGATTCCTGGTCGGCGGGGCACATGCCTGGGTTGCTGGCTTGATCCCCAGAGGGGGGCCTGCAGGAGGCACCCAGTGGATGTTTCTCAGATCGACGTTTCTCTCTCTCTCTCTCTCTCTTCCTCTCTCTTTAAAAAAATCAATAAAACATATTTTTAAAAATTAGAAGTTTAAACTTAAGAGTAAGGGGTGAGACATTTATCGCTATTGCTTGAATGTTACTTTGAGAAGCAAAAGTTGCTTACTCTACAGTATGGAAAAGTTAACTTTGGAGCCAACATGTATTTTCTTATTCATGATGATTCTTCTTTTCCTGCCAAATCAAAATTTGGTATATCGGTGGGGATAATTTCCAGCAGGCTTCCAAAGAAGATGGTTTACAGCGGGGAAAGGAGAACACAAAGCAACAAAGACAGAACAAGAGGAAGCACCTTCGCGCACGTTGGCTTCCACAGTTCTCATCAAAACGCACTGAGCCAACGAGAAGAGAATCGGGCTCTAGAGACTTCCGGTCAAGATGGCGGGCGGGTACCCGGGTCTCGCCTCCCACAGCCACGCCAAACTTACAACTAAACTACAGAACAACCATCCCCCAGAACCACCTGACACTGAGCTGAATGAAGTCCTACAACTACGGAGTTAAAGCAGCAGCTGCATCGAGACTGGTAGGGGGGTGGAGGGGACGGGCTGGTCCCACACCCACATGTGGCGGATAAAAATCAGGAGGACACCTCGGCTGGGAAGGTCCTCCCTGAAGACTGAGGGGTCCCCGTCCCACACCAGGTGCCCTGCTCAGGGTTCCAGTGCCAGGAAGAGAATCCCCATCACTTCTGGCTGGAAAAACCAGCGGGAACTGAGGCAGAGGGAGGCTGGGGTGGCTGGAGCCCCAGGCAGCTCCTCTTAAGGGCCCGCGCACGGACTTACTCAGACTTGCACCCTCTAGACTCCAGCATGGGGGAGGCAGCTCGAAAGGCACCAGAGACGTAAGGGGAAGAACTGAGTTGTTTGGCATCAGGGCAAGAGCTGGAGAGGCAGCTTTCTCCCAGACATGCTGGTGGAGGCCTTTGTTCCTTTGGTGAGCTCTTCCCCAGGGCGACAGACAGGTGTCATATCTGGCATTCCAGCAACCTGGCTCACACTGTTCGTCCCGCCCTGGTTATTCCCTGAGGCCCTGCCCCACCCAAGCTGTTTCCAGTGGCTTTACCACAGGATTGGCCTGTCTGGGCTCCTGCTATAGATTTTCCTAAATTCTCTCCTTCTTAAAAAAAAAAAATGTCTCTCTTGATTTTTTTAGAGACAGGAAGGGAGAGAGAGATAGAAACACCGA